CAGGTGGATCACCTGAGGTCGGGAGTTCAAGACCAGCCTGACTAATATGGCAAAACCCTGTCTCTACTGAAAATACAAAAATTAGCTGGGTGTGGTAGCGTGCGCCTGTAGTCCCAGCTAATTGGGAGGCTGAGACAAGAGAATTGCTTGAACCTGGGAGGCGAAGGTTGCAGTGAACCGAGATCGTGCCACTGCACTCCAGCCTGGGTGACAGGGCGAGACTCTGTCTTGAATAAATAAATAAATACCCCCAAAACAAACTTTAATTCAGGTTGTATCACCTCGGAGCACTTCTTAGTGGCTGTGGAGGAAAGAGTGTATTGATTTGGCGCCAGAGGACACGAGGTCTAGTGTCTTTTATGTACCAGCTGTGTGATGTTGGACAAATTACTTAACCTCCCTGAACTGATTTCCTATGATGATAAATGACGAAAAAAACCTCCCTCAAAAAACTCAGATAATGAATGCATGTGCAAGTGCATCGTGCAGGGTAAAACACTATTCAAATGGTAACAATGCTATGTCACCCCTCTAGTAAAAGTGGGAACCCCTTTAGTAGGGTGAATTGTGAAGCTTAGTGCTGGGCAACTCAATCTCCGTTTTTAATAAATGCTTGCTTAATTCATGAACAAATATCTATCAGGCCTTAATTCACCCCTGATTATTTATATGTACTGCTTTGCAATTTTCTAATCATTCTCCGTGGTGGTCTTTCATTTAGGGTGACCAACTGTCCTGGTTTTCCTAAGTCTAAGGGAATGTGGGGATTTCTGGGGAGGCGGGGGTGTGGTTCTTATTTTATTTCTTTAATTTTTTGTCCCCATCATGGAATGTTTTTTGGTTTTTTTGGAGTGGCCAGGGTCTCACTCTCTTGCCCAGGCTGGAGAACAGTAGCATGATCACAGCTCACTGTCACCTTAACCTCCTGGGTCAAGCGATCCTCCCACCTCAGCTTGTGGAGTAGCAGGGACCACAGGTATGCACCACCATGCCTGGCTAATTTAAAAACTTTTTTTTCTTTTTTTTTGAGATGGAGTTTCGCTCTGTTGCCCAGGCTGGAGTGCAGTGGCACAATCTCGGCTCGCTGCAACCTCTGCCTCCAGGGTTCAAGCAATTCTCCTGACTCAGCCTCCCAAGTAGCTGGGATTAAAGGCCTGCCACCACACCTGGCTAAGTTTTGTATATTTCATAGAGACAGGGTTTCACCATGTTGGTCAGGCTGGTCTGGAACTCCTGACCTCAAGTGATTCACCTGCCTTGGCCTCTCAAAGCGCTGGGATTACAGACGTGAGCCACCGCACCTGGCCAAATTTAATTAAATATTTTAATAAGTGATGTATTAGTAATTCAGAATATCAATTTCAAATATTTCTGTTACCTTCCGAGGGCAGCCCCTTCCCTGCTTGAGATACCTGAGAAGGAATGGAAAGGGAGCAAGTGCTGGGAGCGGGCATTACTTGGGGATGGGTTGCATGTTGGATTTCAATGGACTCTCCACTGAGGAGCCCATTTTCTAGGGAGATCTAGAATATTTGCAACTGGCAGAGAGCAGGATAAGGCTTAATGGACTGACCCACCACTCTTTGTCCAGTGCCTCTGCTCGCCACATGTTCCCCACCCACCGCGTGTGCTTGCCACCTCTTCACGTCTCACTTTCCAAAGTTACAGCTTCTAAGTTTCAGATTCATTTACACAGTTCTATTTTTGCCTATGTGCTTCCTGATATAGATCTCCGTGTCATGCATGTTTGAGGGTCCCTGGGGTCACATCCCACTGAAGTCTAGGAACATTAGCTTTAAACAGCTAATTTTCTCTTATTTAGTTGCAGAGAAGTTCCTGTTCCAGGCTTGAGCACTGGCCCGCCTCCAGGCTTTCTCTCTGTTTCTGCAGCAGTCCTTGTCTCTCAGCGGGGACAGTCTCTTCTGTGGCTTACAGTCTCTCACACCACAGGGACTTTTCACTACCAGCACCACCTGCTGTCCTGATTCCCAGAGGCCTCCCTCCCTTTCCACCTGGCCTCTGAGCTGCCCTCTAGTTGACACACTTTGGGGTTTGCAGGCTGGCCAAGAACAGGGAGGGGCTGCCCTGCTTTGGGGTAATGGGTGTTCTGGAAATAGCCTTGGGGGAGGGATCTGGTTCTGAAGTTAGCACTGAAGGCTTTGTCTGTGCTTGTAATGCCTGATACTTAGCCACCAGGAAAAGGAGGTGTCTTTGCAGCTCCATTTCTCCCCCACAGGGCATGTATTCACCCCTCTGGGTTGGTGGCTGTAGTACTAACCAGACATAACTTTTATTCTAGACTACCTGGTGTTTTCTCCTGCTCAGGGCTTTACATGCTACTTTACTGGATCCTCCAAAGGAGGGCCTGGGGGTTGCTTATGGCCTGGAGGTGGGCCAGGTGGCCACTCACATACAGTAGCCTCAGTACTTGTGCCAGTTTGTGATCCCCCACTCAGCACCAGCACTCGTGCAGATGCCTGGCACAACTTATGCAAGGTTGGTCTTCAAGGGAAGGGGAAGGAAAGGAGAACTGAGGCAAGGAAACTAGTGGTACAGAAGTAGGAGGAGGAGCTGAGAAAGGACCAGGTGCACACTGGTTTTCACTGAAGTCATCTTCCTTCCTTTTGGGAGAATAGGCAGCTGGTTCACACCAACCAGGCTGGCTCTCCCTGAGTCAGCCCCCTGAAGACACTGGCAACTCATAGTGACAGGCTGGTTGTCTTGGCTGTGATGTTAACAGGCTCATGGCCTCTCTGCCACCCCTCAGTCAGCCTAGGGCCTGGCTTCTGATGGCCTGTTCTCTGCCCATCAGTCCTGAAAGGGTCCCCTCTGTTCATAGGGGTCTGGCCTGTATATTGTTCTCTCTGTTCACATGTAGAACTTTATGAAAGATAAACAGGTTCATACTTACCTGGCAGGGGGGATAACTATGAAAGATAAATAGGTTCATAGAAGGAAAATTATATTCCCAGGCCAATAGTGAGCAAGTACAGTTGTCTCTTGGTACCCACAGGGCATTGGTTCCAGGACACCCAAGAATGCCAAAATCTGCAGATGCTTAATTAAATAAAATGTTTTAGAAAAAATAAAATATGGCCATGGCTCATGCTTGTAATCCCAGCACTTTGGGAGGCCGAGGTGGGTGGATCATTTGAAGCCAAGAGTTCGAGACCAGCCTGGCCAACATAGAGAAACCTCTTATCTATAAAAAATACAAAAATTAGCTGGGCATGGCGGCGCATGTGTGTATCCCAGCTACTAGAGAGGCTGAGGCACAAGAATTTCTTGACCTGGGAGGAATAGGTTGCAGTGAGCCGAGATGGCGCCACTGCACTGCACTGGGCAACAGAGTGAGACTGTCTCAAAAAAAATCAGAAAGAAGAAACTATATAAAATGGTATAGAATTTACACATAACCTATGCACATCCTCCTGTATAGTACTTTAAATCATCTCTAGATTACTTGTAGTACCTGATACAAGGTAAATGCTTGTAAATCATTGTTATACTGTATTGTTTTTATTTGTACTTTTATTGCTATTATTTTTTTTTTTGAGACAGTTTTGCTCTGTTGCCTAGGCTGGAGTGCAGTGGCGTGATCTTGGCTCACTGCAAGCTCCGCCTTCTGGGTTCACGCCATTCTCCTGCCTCAGCCTCCCAAGTAGCTGGGACTACAGGCGCCTGCCTCCACGCCCGGCTCATTTTTTTTTTTTTTGAGACGGAGTCTCACTCTGTCTCCCAGGCTGGAGCGCAGTGACACGATCTCAGCTTACTGCAAGCTCCGCCTCCTGGGTTCACACCCAGCAGCTAGGACTACAGGCGCCCCCCACCACGCCCAGCTAATTTTTTTGTATTTTTAGTAGAGATGGGGTTTCACCATGTTAGCCAGGATGGTCTTGATCTCCTGACCTCGTGATCCACCCGCCTCAGCCTCCCAAAGTGCTGGGATTACAGGCGTGAACCACCACACCCGGCCTTATTACCGTATTTTAAAAATTAGTATCTACCACTTCATAGGGTTGTTGTGAGGATTCAACAAAATAATGTACTTCTCACAGCATATGTGTGCATGTTAGCTGTCACTACGATATATCTTTATGGTGTATAAGAGCCTAATGGGGTCCTGACAATCTACTATGCTCTCAGGATAAAATCTGCTTTGCCCTTTTTATCCTGAAGATTTAGGTGGTGTGTGCCTGTGATCCCAGCTACTTAGGAGGCTGAGACAGGAAGGATCGCCTGAGCTAGGGAGGTCGAGGATGCAGTGAGCCGTGATTATGCCACTGTATTCCAGCCTGGGTGACAGAGTGACAGCAAGACCCTGTCTCAAAAAAAAAAAAAAAACAAAAAACACCCAATCCTGGAGACTTAGGCCCCTATGTATTTACTACCTCCCTGTAATCTTCCACCAGTAGAAGGCACCGGCCATTTAAATTACTGGCGACCACTTGAGAAGAGAATTATGGTGCCTTAGCTATGGAACCACTTATGATCCTGCTTACAGTCTAGGCTTTAGATTTGGTCTGTTGACTTGACGTTGCTAGACTCCAACTGCCTGAAATGAGCGGCTCTCCTGGACTGCTTGCTAGAAACTTAGAGGTATTAGGTTGGACTCCATTGCTTGTTCATGGCCTAGTGGCAGGGGTGGTGGCCTTGAGCCTGAGGTTGTGGTTAAAAAGACACTCTGAGGTGGAAACATGAAGCTGGTGGAATATTCACCTGATACGGTGAGGGTGGGAGGGAACGGGGACCCAGAAAGGGTCAGACAGAGAACAAAGTAATATCTGTGGGCCTTTTTACCCTGGAAAGGAATTTCAGGTGGGTCAAACCCCACCAGTGTTCTCCAAAACTAGGCAGAAGAAAAACCTAGGGGAAGCTGTTGGTTCAGAATTGAAGATGCTGGAAGTGGGCGAGGACCCTGTCAGAGTCATGGAGAAAGAACAGGCATCCCCCCACCCCCGGCATCTCCAGAACCCAAAGGCTTTAAAGGGACCAGTGACTTGATTTATATCCAGTGCTTTATTAAAGATAAATAGTCTTATAAGAGGAGAAGTAAATGTGTTCACAGGCCAACAGAGAGTGCATGTTTATGAGAAAGAGATACGTGAGGTCCCTGATCTGTGCTCTGAAGGAGTAGTCAGTCAGGCAGGGCCTGGGCCAACCAATAAGGCAGATAAGGGTCCCTGTCCTGGGGGACTCACTGCTCCTGGGTGCCCCAGGAGATGTAGTCTGGCCGTGTGGCCGCATGGTACTCATCGATGAGCTGCTGCACAATCTCCCTGGATGTGTCCATCTCATCAAAGTTGTCCTTGAACATGTCCTCCTTGCGGAACTGCTCCAGGAAGGCCTCCCGCTTCCGCAGCTTGTCATACTGGCGACAGGTTCTCTCGAAGAGCTTGGGGTGTGCAGAAAACAGGGGTTACAAAGAACCTAAAAGAATACTATGGCCCAGAAAGCCGGGGAACCAAGGCTGGGCCATGCCCACAGCAAAAAAGCTAGAAGCAGGACCAGCAGATGCAGAGACATGAGGTATAGTCAGGAAACTGATTCAGGGAAAAAAAGATGCAAACTGTGAGACTCACTGAGGAGATGCTGGTGTGGTTGGCCATCATGAGCCCACTGACCCGGTGGGCCGAGGGCAGGTAGGGAGACTTCCTCGACAGGGCCACTTGGATGCTGGCGGGGCCCCACGGGATGAAGTTGGCCAACTTCCGTTCCCGAATCCTCTGCAGGCTCTTGTGGACCTGGGGTGGGCACACGAGCAGTGGAGGTGGCCTCTCCTCTACCCCTGCGGGTCCAGGGTGCGGGATGAAGGGGCCTCCCCTACCTGGGTGGGGTCCACCTCTCCCTGGATGATGTTGAGGATGGCGATGTAGCAGTGGTTGGTCTGGCGGTCTCGGCCTGTGGACACCATCACGTTCTTGGGCTGCAGCAGCCGCCTCATCACATCCAGGACCGTGGTCTTCCTCACGCTGGCCACCTGATGGGACAGTGAGACAGGAACCCGGCCAGCGCTCAGGGCAGAGTCCCCCTTTGGCTTCTCCTTGGCAGAAGCCAAAGGCAGAGGGAGGGTAGAGAGCAAGTCAGCAAGAAAGTCGCCTGCTCTGTGCTAGTCCCTGAGCACAGTGCCTCGGGGCCCGCAAAGGGCAGCTCCTGGGGCAGTGGGGAAGACAGAAAGGCTAGGGCAGGGCCTGCTGGGCCCAGGGCCGGCCTGGCCTGGGACACTGAAGGCTGCTCTTACTGACTGGTCCGTAGTGAGCGGGGTGTAGCCGGTCATGAGGAAGTGGAGCCGTGGGGTGGGAATGAGCGAGGCGATGAGGCCGATGAGGTCATTGTTCATGTAGCCGGGGTAGCGCAGGGTGGTGGTGCTGGCCGACATGATGGTGGACACCTGGGGACAGGGGTGCCATGTCGTGGGCCTCGGCCACAATGGGACCTCCCTTCCCCAGATGACCGTAAAACAAGGAGGGCCTCTAGTCCAAAGGAGTCTGGGAATGGGAGCCCACCAGCTGGTTGATCTGGGAGAAGGACGGGTTCTGGATGTGCAGGCGGTCTGTGGCAATCCGGTTCAGGGCTGTGTTGTCTAGCACCACCTGTGGGGACAGAAGAGGGTCACAGATCAATGGGGATAGGAAAAACAGGAGCTCTGCCTGACCCTAGGCTCTGAAGCTTAATTTCCTTTGAGTTTTATGGCCAGAAAGATCCACTGAAAAGGGATTTGCACTGACCTAGGGCAAAAGAGGGCTCAAAATGGATTTTTAAATTTTTCTTTTCATCTTATTTAAATGTTCTTTTTTTTTCTTTTTTCTTTTTGAGACAGCGTTTCACTTTGTCACCCAGGCTGGAGTGCAGTCAGTGGCACGATCTCTGTTCAGTGCAGCCTCTGCCTCTGAGGTTCAAGTGATCCTTCTGCATGTACCACCACTCCCGACTAATTTTTGTATTTTTAGTAGAGATGGAGTTTCACCATGTTGCCCAGGCTGGTCTTGAACTCCTAGACTCAAGTGATCCAACTACCTTGGCCTCCCAAAGTGCTGGGATTATAGCCATGAGCCACTGCACCTGGCTAAAATGGATTTTTTTAAATACATGAAAATGATTTAATAGACTTGAGTGGGTATGAGGTGTTGGGAGTTGGGAGAGGTAGAATCCAGGACTCACCACACAATCTGCGTTCTGCGTCAGCCTCTTGAGTGTGAGGAGTGAATTGTAAGGCTGAACCACCACATCGCTCATCTCGTCCTGGTTGGGAAACACTGAGTATGTCTGCACCAGCTTCTTAGGATACCTGGTGGCGGTTGGGGAAAGGATCAGGGCAACAGACTGAAGGCGTTGTGAACATGGTGCTCCCTAACAACTGTCCAGAAGCAGCTAAATCTTGATGGCGAAACTGGGGTGGGGTCAGATCAGTAGAGAAGAGAGCCTTGACTTTTGGAAGTCTGTAACCCTACAGGGGGAAAGGCAGAGGCATCTTAGACTCTGGGCTTCCAAATCCACACCTGGCCACACTCCCTCGACTTTCATCCAGGGCTCAGGTTCCAGGCTCCAGTTCCCGCTACTGGGAGTGTGATGGGGTTCTCAGTCATTGTAACTTCATTTTCCTCTCTATAGGAGGGAATAGAACTCTTTCCTGTTCCAGCAAATATGCAGTTATATCTGCTGGGTCCACTAGTCATTTAGGAAGCCAAGTTGGAAACCTTTCCTAATCCCCAGACACAAACTTACCTGTCATTCAGCCGTTCTAAGAGGTAGGAGCCCAGTCCAGAGCCTGTCCCCCCAGCAATGGAGTGACACAGCACAAAGCCCTGCATGGGGAAGCGGCAGTCAGTATCCAGGTATCTAGTGGCAAGATGTCAAACTAGACCCATCTCATAATTTTTCAGGACTCTCATTTTCCCAAGCCCTTGCTTCCCCTCCAGTCCCTCACTTATATAGCTTAGGCGACTGCCTTGTTTCCAGCAAGGCCTGATAGCTTCTGTCCAGTGCAAAGGGTACATGAGTGGGTCTCGTTCCTAACAGGTCGCTTCTAGAGGGTGCTGCTAAGCCTTGCCTATGTCGGCTCCTACCAGCATTCCTGGGACACTTACCTCTAGACTATCACTACCATCTGCCTCCCGGTCTATGATGTCAAAAATGTCCTCGTGGATCTTTTCTCCCTGTACAGACATAGGGGAGGGTCAGAGTGGGACAGAACCATGGGAGGACTCCGACCTCAGAAAAGCCACCCTCAATTCTCCTTATAGCACCCAGGAGTCCTTTTATGGAGTACAGCTGCCTGCTTTTTATCTACATTGAGAGGCGGTACGGTGCAGTGGTTACAAGAAAGCACTCTACACCCAGACTACCTGGGTTCGTTCATACATTAGCTCTATTTTTTTTTTTTTTGAGACGGAGTCTCTCTCTGTCTCCCAGACTGGAGTGCAGTGACCTGATCTTGGCTCACAGCAACCTCCACCTCCCGGGTTCAAGTGATTCTCCTGCCTCAGTCTCCCCAGGAGCTGGGATTACAGACACGTGCCACCATGCCCAGCTATTTTCTGTATTTTTAGTAGAATCAGAGTTTCACTATGTTGGCTAGGCTGGTCTTGAACTCCTAACCTCAGGTGATCTGCCCGCCTTGGCCTCCCAAAGTGCTAGGATTACAGGCATGAACCACTGTGCCCGGCCCATTAACTCTACTTCTATGTAGCTCTGGGCAGCTTATTTAATTGCTCTATGCCTCAGTTTCCTCATCTGTACAATGAAGGTAATAATACAGGTCCATATACCCTTATCTAACAGTGTTGGGGCCAGTTATATTTTGGAATTCAAAATATTTCAGATTTTAGAAAGTTATTACGGTGTATATAATATATATTAAATAAAATTCCAGTGGGAGTCAGAAGCACGTTAATCACACATATTCGTATTTCTATAATAAAAGGCATCAGTAATGACAATAAGTTGGGTAGAAAGTACGGGGCCGGTGCGGTGGCTGAGGCCTGTAATCCCAGCACTTTGGGAGGCCGAGGCAGGCGGATCACGAGGTCAGGAGATCAAGACCATCCTGGTTAACACGGTGAAACCCCGTCTCTACTAAAAATACAAAAATTAGCCAGGCATGATGGCAAGCGCCTGTAATCCCAGTTACTCGAGAGGCTGAGGCAGGAGAATCGCTTGAACCCCGGTGGCAGAGGTTGCAGTGAGCCAAGATCATGCCACTGCACTCCAGCCTGGGCAACAGAGTGAGACCCCGTCTCAAAAAATAATAATAATAAATAAATAAAAAAGAAACCGCCTGTCTTCATTGAGATTTGTTTTTGCTGCTGAACTAGTTATGAAATGTCCTTTGGTTTCATGGCTTTCTGGATCCTGGAAAGGCACATAAGGGACTGTGGACCTGTAGTATTTACTTCTAGGGTTGTTGGGAGATTTAGAAAAATTAATATATGTAAAGCACTTAGAATGGCCTGGCACACTGCATTAGCTAGCATAGGCGCTTGACAATATTACATGGTCCACTCCCTGCAGCCACGTCTCTCCCTCCAGCATTCATACATCCCTGATCTGGTTTCCTCTCTCCCTGGGACGTCATATGGCCTGTCCCTACCCAGGGAGTTGTGGGCCCTGTCAGGGAATAGGAAACGACCTGGGAGAATCCACTGGCCCAGTTGTTGCCAGCTCCTCCTCCATGCTCCGACAGGTAGATGTTCTCTGGGTTGTAGAGCTTGGCATAGGGGGAGTTGAGGATGGAGTGGATCACCCGGGGCTCCAGGTCCAGCAGCACGGCCCGGGGGATGTAGTGCTCATCGTCTGCCTGTCAAGGGGAGTCCAGGAGGGGGCCCAATCAGCTAGGGTGGCCCAAGTCCTAAGTCCTCCCAACTCTGGCTCCCTCCAGCCCTCCCTCCTCAAGCCAGCCGCCTGGCCCCTCTGCCCAGCAGGGTTCCCAGTACCAGGCCACTCCCTTCCCTTCTGGCCCCTCGGGCCATTGCCGCCCTTGGCCAAGTCGCTGGGGGCACCTGGTAGAAAAAGACGTCCTTGCGGTCAGTGCCTTCGGTGGCGAACTCCTCCACGATGCCCTCGGGGCTGATACCATGCTCAGCGCACAGCTGTTTCCAGAACTCGAACCCAACTGGGGGGGAAGGGACAGGCAGGGGAGAAAGAAGATATCTAGTTCCGGGCAGGTTCCAGTCAGGAGCGGGGGGACTGGGCGCCTGCGTCCAGGAATAAGAAGTCAAGCCGTAGGACTCTCCCGTGTCTGAGGAAAGGACTGTACGCCAGGGACAGGGCAGGGGAGGGCCCCTCGGGGCTGGGCAAGTGGACACTGGGTCAGGGATGTCTCGCCTTTCAGAGAACTACGATTCTGGCAAGGACAGATGGAGTCCAGGATCCTACAGCGAGATCACATTGACCCTAAGGAACCTGGCTAGCTGAGGGGCCGGAGTTTCGCTCACTCTGATTGCCGCACTGGCCCAACTGTAGGGTGATGATTTCCCTCGGCATCGCTCCTCAGGCACCGGCGTTGCAGCCGCTCCCGCCCGCAACTCCGCCGCACGCCAGCCCGCTCGCCGCAAGACGCAGGCGCGAAAAAACAAGCTCCACCCACGAACTTCATCCACTCCAATGAGAACCGAGTTCTGGCAATGAATGGCATGTCTTTAAGCCCTGGCCTTCATTCATGCAGATTGCGCGTGCGCGGCTCCTGATCGGGCTCTGAGCCGACAGATCAGGTTCCGCGCCTCAACGCTGGCGGGGTACTTTGACTCGGCGTCCTCCCTCCCCTGTGGGTAGACGCCCGCTTGGGCCTGCGCGCAAGCGCGCTGTGGTGCGAAGCGGCCTCCCACGCCGAATCGCGCATCTGCGCAGTTGCTGTTATTGTGACTGTCGGGCCACGGCCCCGGATGTTGTGGCTGCCGGGGGGAGATGGCGGAGGCCGAAGGGGTGGCGGCGACCCCAGGCCCGGCTTCGGGGTCGACTTTCAGGAGCCGCCGAGATGTGTCAGGCTCCTGGGAGCGGGACCAGCAGGTTGAGGCGGCGCAGCGGGCCCTGGTCGAGGTGCTGGGGCCTTACGAGCCTCTACTGAGTCGGGTGCAGGCAGCCCTGGTGTGGGAGCGGCCAGCCAGGAGCGCCCTGTGGTGCCTGGGGCTGAACGCGGCTTTCTGGTGAGAGAACTGGACCCTTGGAAACCCTCCGAGTCCCGAATTCGTCGGTTCCTCTAGGGCTGTACTCGCCTGCCCTGTTTTCTTCGCTGCACTGGCTCCTTCCTGTACCTGCCTAATTTTGCCTCACCTCTTTCCACTCCATCCCGCCTGCAGGCTTGGGCACCCCAGTTCTTCCCAGGGCCGTCCACCCGTCTTCTCTGCCTTACCGGTGCCCGTACCTCCGCCGTGCACATCTGGCGGGAGCTTCTGGTAACATCTTGAGCCGCTCAAGAGTGAGCTAGGGCGCCTCTTTTGAGCCCGGGAAAGCTGCGTCCCTTTAAAGCCATCGCTTCCTTTCTCTTGTCTGCTCAAGTGCAAGTTCTAGATTGTTTCCAGAGGTTTTAGTAGTTATTGTTGGAGTACAGGCGTGAAGTCTTGCAAAGGTATCCATAGGTGTGATTTTAAAACAAGCTTGAGCGAGTCGCATGAATTAGCATGTTGTATATCTAGGAAGGAAGTTTATGAAGTCTGAGCGTCAGTGTGAGCCCCCAAAGCTGAAAATTGAAAGAAAAGTACAAGCTTTTAAAGAACAGTTAGGAAATGACGGAGATTTCACCCGTTTCAAAGCCACCTGTGATTGTAACTCCTCCCTGTTCCAAGGAATTAGAGAGGCATCCTTAGCCATTGTTTATAGGCAAAGAAATTGAGGATGTCTAATAGTGTGTGTGTGTTCCCGAGCTGGAAAAGTGGCACTATAAATATGCTTTATCTGTGTGTGTCATGCTCTGTGAAAACGGAACTGCTACTTCTCTCAGTTATCATCACCTAAAGCGGACCTAGGACTTCATAGGAGCTAGCAACCATAGTTTTGGATTTATTCGTAATGGAAGAGGTTCCAAGGGAACTGACTTCTAGGGGGCCTTCTGCAGCTGAATGGATTAAGACTGTTCTGGATAAGCCTGAAACAAAATATGTGTGTTTTTTAAATGTGTTTTTGCTAAAAATAGCTTCCCCTTAAAATTGATTTTAAAATCAAAACATTATCCTTTATCTAAAAGATTTTCAGTGAGCTGAAGCAGAACAAATAATTCCAAGTTCATTGACCTGAAGACAGTGTTCAGCTATTAAGCTAATCCTCTCCCAGTTTGAAAGAGACCCAGTTAAATGTGTCACAGTAGTCTCTGGCATTTGTGGCTTCCAGAGCCATTAGCATACTCGATGGTAAACTTTTCCTACTACTTCATTTATTCTTGGTAGTGCTTTTTCCCTTTTTTTTTTTTTAGACAGAGTTTCGCTCTTATTGCCCAGGCTGGAGTGCAATGGCGCGATCTCGGCTCACTGCAACCTCCGCCTCCAGGATTCAAGCATTTCTCCTGCCTCAGCCCCCCAAGTAGCTGGGATTATAG